AAACCTATATCATAAGTACTCTCAAGTTAAATACAAAGTAGGTATACATTTGGTATAAAAGTTAAAGAAAAGGTAATTTTAACGTAAGCATACACTAATCTTGCTCCTATTCATGACTATGATAGTTTCATACTGATGCTAATAGTTTCAACTCGAGATTATATTTTTTTGTGTGTGGGTTTGTTTGTCTAAATGATACGCATATAAAAGTACGATTTTTATTAAACTGCACCTTATATAGTTTTGTTCGTTGAGAATTAAAATGGAGTGTCCTAATCGCAATACATTTTGTTATGTTTGTGGTTTATATGTAACTGTGAAACATGTTCGTAATATAACCAAAACCTTAGTTCTTTCGTTTCAGCGACAGTTTAAAACCAATTACGTTCCGTACTTATGGTACGCTCCCGAAGTGGTATGCACGTACTGCTATTATACCTATAATAGGTCATTATGTAAAAATAATGACAAACAACCCCGTAGTAAATACCAAATACCTACTATTTGATTACCCCGTACAGAGCATTCTCCGGAATTGTGTTACTTTTGTCTGAACGAAACAAGGAGCTTTGGTTATAAATATGAACACCGCGAAAAAATCGCTTACGTTGAAGTTGAATCTGTAATCCCGGCAGTTTTCCATGCTGATGGAGAACGTATTAGATCAATTGACGACATTTTTCCGGATGATTCTGCAAAACTGTGTGAACATGATGTGTCTTACACCCCATTTCAATCTGCTGATGCTTCACCATTGACAGTTTTATCTCAAAGTGTCCAGTCACTAGGATTTAGTCCCACCACTAGTGATATGAGTAAAATTAATGATCCACATTGGGTAACACAGAAGGATTTTCATGATCTTATACGAGACTGCAAGTTGTCCAAGGAAACCTGTGAAATCCTAGGGTCGCGATTAAAACAATGGAATTTAGTTGCATCAGACTTTAAAATCACTGAAATCCTTAATCGAGATAAATATATTCATTTGGACAAATATTTCACATTAAATGACGACGGGACAAAAAAATATGTTTATTGTAATGACATCGATGCCTTATTTGAGGAAATGGGTGCCAGTCACCAAGCAGAGCAGTGGCGTTTATTTATTGACTCATCTGTTCAAAGTCTAAAAGCCGTACTTCTGCGTATTGGTAATCAACATCAAAGAAGATCGTGACACTTTAAAACTCATATTGAAAGCTATTAAGTACGATCAATACAACTGGAAATTATGTTGTGATTTAAAAGTTGTTGGTCTGCTACTCGGCATAGAAGGTGGGTTTTCAAGACACCAATGTTTTCTCTGTAATTGGGAAGGGCGTAAAAGGGATTTGCATTATACGAATCATGTATGGGAATTACGATCAGAATATAGACCGGGGATTGACAGTGTGGTTAATTTACCATTGGTGCGCCCAGAAAACATAATTCTTCCGCCTCTTCACATAAAACTTGGGATTGCGTCAAATTTTATTAAAGCACTGGACAAATCATCTGATGTCTTTCTATCATTAAAAACAATATTTCCAAGGTTATCACAAGCAAATATTGATGCTGGTATGTTAATTTCAGAATAAGAAATAATGATAAATTAAATTTTTCTTATATTTATAAGGTGTTTTAAATGGGCCACAAGTTAAAAAGCTCATTCAAAGCGAAATTTTTATTTCCAAATTAAACCCAGTTGAAAAAGCTTGGACATCTGCTGTTAATGTCTTTGAAAACTTTCTTGATAACCATCGAGCTGAAAATTATATAGAAATTGTGCAAAAAATGATCTCTGCGTATGGCAAAATTCATTTTTTGCATAATCATCTAGATTTTTTCCAAAATAATATGGGTGATTACAGTGATGAACATGGAGAAAGATTCCACCAAGACATAGCTTTAATCGAAACTAGATTTAAAGGTAAAAATTTGGTGCACATGCTAGGTGAATACTGTTGGTCAGTTTGTCGTGAAACGGCAACAAATTCACTAAAAAGAAAAAATAAAAGGCTAAAATTTGAAAAATAATTAAGTTGTATCAAATATTTTTATTAAACTAAATAATATCAGACAGTTTGTTTAATTGTGTTCAGCGTTAAAACAATTTATAAGGTAGTATTGTTTTTTTTTTACTTTGAGTATTAAAATTTTATGGACGTAATAATAAAGTAGTTACAGCCTTATGATTATGTAAGAGTTCTTTAAAATGCCTTTTAAGAACATTTGTAAGCTTGGATAAAAAAATAACATTAATATATAGGATGGAAACTTTCTACGAATTATCTTTAAATTTTGTGTTTCAAAACCAAATAAAAAAAATTTGACATGTACAAAAAAATTGCCGATACACGGGTCTTTTTTTATCGTCTTCTATCCGATTTTTCAAGTTTCATCGATGCGGGCAATTTTGTGTTGTGCGGTGTAATAGCTTAAAGATACACTTGTGAAGTAAAATATAAAATATCTTTTAAATAAATCAAAGATTCAGTTAAAATAAATTACTAAATATCAATAGTTTTAGATTTGTTTTTAAATATAATATCTTTCCATTTAGTATACGCATAAATTTAAATATATGAATTTGTTTGACTTAAAACAAACTTTTTTATATGTATGCTAAAAAGCTCTAAAATCTGTATTTGCAATTCACGAGATTATCAACTTGGAGAAGACTGATAAATTTAAAATCAGAAGCTGGTGATAAACTGGAAGATCACTTTTTTAAATTTGATTCCATAATCCGAGAGTTTAAGGAGTTAAGCCTGAATTATAGATTGCCTTCCTTCCTTCCTTCATTCCTCCCGTAGAAGATGAAAAATACGAAAATTGTAGTGCCATTTATAGATTTTCATACGGGATAACAGGTTTTTGTATTGTTCATCTTCTACGGGAGGAAGGAAGGAAGGAAGGAAGGAAGGCAATCTAAAAGACAGTCTTAAGCGAAAGCGACAGAGTTTGCCAATTATTTTTGTCTTTGACAACAAAATATAATACTATAATTACAGCTCTAGAACCAATAGGAGATTTAAAAATGGATTTTGCAAGGGCCAGATTATTGGACGAAGAGTTAAAAATACAAGACAATGATAAATACACTACAAGCAGTTAAGGCGATGTACTTTTTCTGCCATTGAGGCATTTGGCATAACTTTAACGAAATGTTTGCCCTTAAAAGTTCTTTTACTTTAGAATCTGATATTATTTTTGGCATAGTTATTTCTTTATATCGATATTATATAATTATTAAGAAGTAAATTATCAATAATAAATATTACTGTCAATTTGACAGTGTCAGAGTATTTAATTAAGGTCTTCAGCAGATGTACAATTTTTTTAATAATAAAAATACTATATCAAACTGACATAAGCTACCAACATAATAAAAAAACAGGAGGCCAAATGAAAAAAAAATGAACTGTACTATTTCAGGTAATTTTCTCAAAATCTGACAACACCGCAATTAAATAAGGATATGGTTGTTGGGTCCTAAATGATGTGTTTTTTTAATCAATCAATTTTTTTTTATGCCAAAAAAATTAAATGGATTTTTGCCTTTTGGGGTTACTTAAAATTTAAGTTTATATTAATCGCCCACACACGTTAGAAGACTTAAAGGCAAATATTAATGCACAAATTGTCCAAGGGTCAGAATTTCTCAAACGGGCCACCTGAATTAGGTCAAAATTAGTTTTTGTTTGTAGATACATTTTTTCGATACTATTTTACATCACTAACACAAATCCTAAAGGATTTTGTAAAAAAATAATTTTCAATTGACATATTCATGATATTAAAAGTCAAAGTTTTTAATAATTAAAAAATAAAAAAAATCATTATGGCTAAACTAATTATCCGATTCCAACGATATAACTAGCGTTGGAATCTTGTTTTGACATAGATTCTTTGTTATTTTTTTCAATTGTCCAATTTTCATTTAGGTCGATTTTTTTTTGTTTTTTTTATACCAAATTCGGAAATAATTGGCTTCTGCGCCAGCTATCGACTCGAAAAAAAAACACATATACTCCAATCATTTCTAGAAATTATGCTGCTGAGAAAAAAAATGGCCCGCAGGTTGACAAAAAGTTATTCGTCCTTTTGTGGCCGCGCGCGGTGTCAGCTCACGCTCCGAACCGTGTATGCTGTACGCGCTTGTGACGCGACGTCTTACGGTGGTCTGGTCTGCGGGCCATTTTTTTTCTCAGCAGCATAATTTCGAAAAATGATTGGAGTATATCTGTTTTTTTTTTTCGAGTCGATAGCTGGCGCAGAAGCCAATTATTTCCGAATTTGTTATAAAAAAAACAAAAAAAAATCGACCTAAATGAAAATTGTACAATTGAAAAAAATAACAAAGAATCTATGTCAAAACAAGATTCCAACACTAGTTATATCGTTGGAATCGGATAATTAGTTTAGCCATAATGATTTTTTTTATTTTTTAATTACTAAAAACTTTTACTTTTAATATCATGAATATGTCAATTGAAAATTTTTTTTTTCAAAATCCTTTAGGATTTGTTTTAGTGATGTAAAATACTATCGAAAAAATGTATCTACAATCAAAAACTAATTTTGACCTAATTCAGGTGGCCCGTTTGAGAAATTCTGACCCCCAAATCAAAAAATAGTTGTTCATTGTCTGACTTGGAAAAAGAAAAAAGTACATATTTCTCAAGAACGGCTTAGCCGATTTTTTCCTATCTGGTCTTGAAATAATCAGGTACCAAAAACAAAACAAGAAAAGCAAACAATTTTGGGTTAAACTTATTTGAGGCTAGGCTAAAACTTTAAACTAACTACTTTTGTTCTAGTTGGAGAAAAATCTACAAACATGATAAATCATTGCAGAAATGCAATAAAAACCAACAACATAGATGGGCTGATCAAAATCATAAGAACGGGAGAAATGTGAAATATTTTAATTTTATTGGACTAATATATTTTAAGTGCACTAATACAATTGTTTGTTTCTTAATATAAATGATTTTATTTTTATAATGTAACAGTAATTCAATATACAAAAATATACCACCTATTGCTTCATACTTGATGAATAACTATCACAATGTTACAAATAAATAATAAAATCACACTAAAAAGTATTAAAAAATGCAGTGTTATTTGGCAGTTGCAAAAAACTATTTACTATACAACCTTAAAATTATTCGAACACATTAAAGTTTGTAAAAAAGTTCATATTAAATCCGGTTTTCCGAAAAATATCTACTGTTGAGTTCAATATGTTCTTCGATTTCAGGCCAGACTCCGACCACATAAGTTTCAATTTCACATTCGTTTACTCCCCTTGCTATCCTGAAATATCCGTTTTCACCCCAATGTCTGCCCCAGCTGTTTGCAACTTTCTAAAAATAAAATAAAATATTTAAAATATGCAAAAACAAAATTAAAACTATCGGTGCTTACCCAGTATTTTTTAACTCCATTGATAGTGTTTTCTTCACCCCATCCAACTATTTTTACTGAGTGCATTTCATTGACATATTTTTGATCATCGTACAAACTTAGGTCACTAAGTTGATAAATTCCAGATCTGTACGAAAAAAAGTCATGGTGCACTTTCATGGTAGCTAAAAAATATAATTAGTGTTTTATAAAATATGAATTATAGAAGAGATTTTAATAAAATTGTTATTTTGGCATTTTAACATTATTTATATTTTAACAATTTTGGTTTCAATGCTGGTCCAAAGATGGTCTACAGTCTTATTGGGGTAGACTTATAACTTACAAGAAAATTCTTTATGAGATCAAGGCGGCCCACAATGGACTGAAAACCTCGGTTCAGGTCAAAATTAATTTTAACAAAAATTAAAAAAGATATTGATTTGAAGTTTTGACTAGATATTAATGCATATAAAGGCTTTAACATATGCAAAATTCACACTCCAATGGAAAACTATTTTTTTACAGTAAATGCTTTTAATATTATAATATCACAAACGTAAAATAAAAATAAACCTAATGTTTTGTTAAAAAACACTAATATTGCGCCGATTGTATTTCCCTATATATATTTCTATTCCCTCCCTGTTATCAGGTAAGAAATGTTTTATTTCCTCCCGTTATTGACTTTAAATGTAAACGTCAGAATTTAATTAAACTTCAGATTTTAATTTTAATTTTGGGGAGGCCCAAACTAACCCCCAGCCCACCCAACCAATCCCTTGTCTATGGGCCCAAATTTTCTATTTGTAAGCAATTCCACTCGACAAAAAAGTATAGTGTTTACCTCGCGTGGTATTGCAAACACCCTTAATGAATTCCTTCACTCGCCTATCGCTCAAAACTTTCATCTTCAGGAGTAATTTGATCCAAAGGTAATTTTGCCAAGGTCAATGATCAAGCCATTTCTTGAAATTCTTGATTTTAATAAATTTATTTAAAAACTTGCCACCAATTAATTGCTGAGATGCTCTACTATAGGGAGAAAAAAACAATTGAAAGAACCTTTTTAACATTTACCTTGTACAGGTCCAGATTTCATTATGTCGAACATAATATCAGTTTCATTGCGAAGCTTGTAGGCAGGTCCTACTTTATATCTTTGCGTCCTTCCGCTAGATGGAGCAGCACAATTTGCTCTTCTAAGATCTCCCCTCATTTTGATTGTGCAGGTTTTTTCCTTTCCTAGGTATGGGAAACAAGGCTCATCTACAACTCTAAAAAAATTTAAAGGTAGTTTATTTTCTTAGCAGCTTTAGGTAAGTAGTATTATTTTACCCAAATTTCTTCATGAACTGCCATGCCTGATCTACCCTTCCAGCTTTACAGGTTTCGTGTATTTTCCTCCCTTTAAAACACGATAACAAATTTTGGGTGCTTAATTGTACTCGTTCCATACCTTGTGATATTATGGAAAATCTAAAATATATTTTTTATTTTTTAGAACTATATATATGTATAGCGTTTATCTAAAAGGAACCAAGCGCCAAAAACTTTTTCTGGGGTAAACAAAATTATTTGCAAAATAACTCATTTTTAATGCTGCTCAAAAACTTAATAATGATTTGGGAACCTTCTCAATGCTTGAAAGTTCCAAATGGAGATTAACCTTTTGAGCATCATTAAATATTAGTTATTTTAAAAATAATGTTACCAAGCCCAAAAAAAGTTTTTGACGCTTGGTTACTTTTCGATAAGCGTTATCCATATGTGGTATATGGTTTTCCGGGATCTGCTCCGATTTTTGGTTCTTAAAAGTATGTCTGACGACGTTACGGTACAATCTCATATACCATCTTCAGGTCTTAAAAACCAAAAACCGACAACACGGAGCAGATCCCGGAAAACCATCAATATATATATAGACAGTGTGCCCCCGGATCGGGTTGCCAATCGGAACAACTTTTTATTATACGTTTTATTAAAAAATGCATTTTTTATAAAAAGTCCTGCTTATTTAAAAATAGGGTTTATATACAAAAAAATTGATTAAAAGGTTCAGGGTGCGTTTACGAAAAAATACATTCTTCATAAAAACCCACGATTGTTTATAAATGAGATTTTCATAAACAAGAAAGAAAAGAAAGTATGAATGCGAAATAAAAAAAAAATTAATAATTAATTTTTTTATTTATTTATTTATAAATAAAATTAAATGTTAAAATAATATTTTTATTTTGGACTAAAATTTAAATTGTCAACGATTTTCTCTATCTTAAAGTCGCGCACCATCTTAAAGAAATTCCAGAAATTTGTTAAATGTTACCTTCCTTATTTAAAAAAAATATGAGACCGTAAACATTGAATTTTATACATAATAATAATAGGTTCACCTTTTTATATTTTTTAAGTAGGTATTATGTATAAAATAGCCCTAATATACATAATATTTAAACAATGGTTTTATTATGATTTATTGCTTTATCTGCATTGCATTTCAGGATTTTTACTATAACAATACGCTTGCGTTAAGCAACATGATGTACAAACAATTGATTTTCACCACAATTAATTGGTAAATTGATTGTTACACACCATACACAATTGAAATTCAAAATTATATTTTTTCTTAGGCAAGATTTGCAAGAGTCTTTCAGCCTGACATGTGTGATATAATTATAACATTGGTTTAGTTTTACTTCATAGATTTAATGTATGGTTTTATTGACCGCCGACGGTGGACTAGTCGTCAGTGCTGCTGACTACAAGCCGTGAAGTCGTGGGTTCAAGTCCCACATTGGTATGGTTGTTTATATGTGTTTGTTTTATTAATAATTGTGTATTAGTCCTTCGGTCCGTTCCTACCTGTAACCCGCATAAGCCATTCAGTTAGCTTCTGGAACTTCTTAGGAAGAAAGTGTGGGACTAAAAGATCACTTGTGTATTAGTCCCTAACCGGGTATTTGCTTCAGTCCAGTCTGACGTAAAATAAATAACCTCTAACTTAAAATAACCAATTTGGTCAATTAATTTTGACACTTTCTAATATATTGTTGTTGGTTGTAAAGATGATTAAGAATGAAACTACCATGGTAATAAAGTTCACTTTATTACTAGGCAATGTTGCCATTTAAAGAAAATATTTATTCACTGTATGATTTTAAATAATGAAGACACTTTTTTAACAATTTTCCGGAATTCCTGGGTGTCTGTAGCCTTTAAGGAGGTAAGCGACTTTTGGGACACCCTATATTATGGGTATGTTAACTTAATACATAAAATTTTAAATTTAAAATATATTTTTAATAACTTTATACTTTAATACGCTGTACCTGAATGGTTTTATAACAAGAAAAAAGGTTTTAGTTTTTAACTAAATAGGTTATGTTCGTATTTTTTTAAAACACATACGCTTTTGACCTTTTGCAACAAAGATGGCAATATAAAGGGGAACAAAGATGGGCAGATTTTTTTCTTGTAATATCATCATTCCTACTTAGTAAACTAAGACTAAAGACTGTCTCGAATAAGTAGTGATAAATTTATTTTTAGTTTTAAAACCATATATATAAGTAGGTATTGCAATTAAACATTGCCAAAAACTTAGAGAAAACTAATTTTTGTTTAAAGTATTAGTAATATGGCTACTATTATAGTATAATAATAGTATATTAATATTTGTGGGGTCCTAAATAAACAAATTTTACATTTAGATTATTTTTATTTTTTTTAGTTGAATTATCCATTTATCATTTTGAAATCCCCGCACATTATAATTATAATCAAAGTTTGTATTTCTTATGTTTTACTCTAAATGCCATAGTTACCTGTCTGAGGCTACCGAAGTCGAAGAAACCGCCCAAGATGAAGAACACCAACCTTGATCTTGAATTTTGGTCAACCCAACCCCACTCCATTTTCTTTCAATATCAAATTCCCTGGGCAGCCGACTTGGATCATTATTTTTTTTAATTGTTGGTAACATTTCGCTTACAGCATAGGGACGAAGTGATCCCAACCTAAAAAATAAATTCGTTTAAATTTAAAATCCATATCTATCGCCGGAAATGGATTAAATGTAGATAAGTATTTTTTATCGTCAAAATGTCAATGTCAAAATTTTTAAATATAACTTGCGAAGGTGTTTGACGTGCTAAAGTCAAAGTCGATTTCGGAATGGCTCAGATTTTCTAATTTATTAGTTTGGTTTGGTTAAAAATTTCTCGTAAAGGAGAAGAGAGAGATAATTAGAAATCTTTTAAAGACTACTCTTGTAAAATTAATACTCTACATACAGATAGATAGATCTATAGATGGCATAAAGAGTTTTGTACAAAACAATCTAAAAACAGCTTTGAGGTCAGATTCGGAATCAGCGCCTTAAAATCCTTTGAATGGTAATAGTTTTTCATTGTTTTAAACAATAAAAAGTTTGTTAAATATTTTGGACCTGTGCTGACAGTTGTCAACCCAATAATTTTATCTCCCCAAGTTGTAAAACTGTTTTTAATGTTGTCACTGTTTCGTTCGATACGTGTTTAGCACCAGGCACTGACAGGCAGACTGTTTCGGACTTTAGGACCTAATCAGTGCCGGGTGCCATACAACATGGCTACCCGGAACTAGTATGGAACACGTATCAAACCAAACACAAGTACGAGGTTAAAAGACAGTTTTTACCTATGTAAGTTATCATTATAAGGATTGTCATATCTTTCCATTCTCCATGTGAAGGGGTCATTGCTTGCAAGAAGTGCCAAGTCACATTTTTAATAAAATTGACATTGTGGCGCTAAAAGTGTTTCACTTCAGCTTTCAGGTGGTATTTGTAGAGTGGCAGAAATATGTGTCTAAGTGCCTTAGTTTGCATTTACTTCAATAAGAGACCTGGTTTTCAATGCAAGAAGTACCTAAGTCATCATTTTGACAGATGCAATGCAACATGTGCCTTAGTCCACGTTATTTAAATTAGGTTATATCTGAGCAAATTACCTATTAAACTATGTAAATCCTAATAATTTGTGTCTCTGATTAAAAACATAACTATGGCAGGTAAGTAAATTAAATAAATAGATTGTGGAACCTTAATACATACCAGTTATCGGTTTTTTTTTGCTCGAACCTTGTCTGAAAATGGAAGTATAATCCAGCAAAATGATGTCATTGATAAAGAAATTGAACAGTTACAAGAGGCCGACACTGTTTATGAATAGCCAGACTCCTTAATATATTCTTAGTTTTGCTTTAAGTTATGTTCACAATTTATAAATTTTTTTACGGCGTTATAATATAATAATCTTTTTTTTAAGTATAAACAAACTTTTCCTCAAAATATCCCTTAATTTTTGACAAAATAAAAACATTTCAACACAAAAAGTGCCTAAGTCCCAAACTATTTTATATATATTTTTTTTTTTGATATAACAAAACGTTTTTCTTTTTTAATCATGGAAGTCTAATCCACTTTTCACAAAGAATACAATACAACACACATTTTCATCATAATATTTTGTGTAATATTTCATAATCAAAAATAAACCTTCAAACAGCAATATCTCAGTATCACCTATTTGTGACTAAGACACTTCTTGCATTGACCCCTTCATGTACTGTATATTATAACTTATATCTAGAATAAATTAACATATTATATTTTATATCTATTTTGTTTTGTTAAAATGCCCAAAAATGTTGAAAAACAGTCCACATTTTTAAATATTCGTTTACTAAAATGTGGATAGTTTAAAGTTACAATTATTGAAAGACATACCTTAAGGTCATTCCTTCATCCAAAGTTCTACCATAAAAATCACTGTAGTTTGTAGCAGTCCATCCCAAATCAGGTTTATTGTTGACAGTGTATATTATTTTATCATCTACAAGACAAGTGTTTTGTTCACATTGTATTTCAGCCCTTCCACCTGCATCTACGCAAGTACTAAAAAAATAATCTCATCATAAAATCCTACATTTTTATTGTACTCATTTACCATGTGTTACAGTTGTCTTTAAAAGGCTGGTTAGGGCGATGGGTTTTACCCTTATAGTCGCATCTTAAAATAAATCCAGGAAAATCCGGTGGAGGTCTTGTGGATGGTCTGAAAGTTGTGGTCCTAACAACTCCCCGACAGAAGGAGTAATAATCAGGACAGCAATCATTGTGACTTCCCGTACCAGTAGCGTTACAGAAAGAATCACAGTAGCATAAAGTTTCTGAAAAAAAATAAAATTTTATTCGTTTATTTTCTTATCATGTTTGGAAATATTTTTTAATTACTGTGTAAATAATAAATAAAATATGCAAATCGCGTTTTTAGGTTATCGCACTTTATTTATAGGATTAAAAGATTTGTTTTTAATTGTGTTGTTCATTATGGCTATTGTCTCTAAAAATTAAAAAAAAAAACATAAAAATGTAATCAAGTATTTACTTAATCTACAATTACATTAGGGTGTTTGAAAAAACCGATATCGTTTTTTTTTTCGTTAAACCAAACATTTCTTTGATTATTTCCCTCATTATAATATGAACCAATCAAAAGCCTTAAATTTTCGAATAAATTTCGTTTAAATAAGGGATTAAATCACTAAAACTATTTAACAGCGATTAAATTTTAGCCGCCATATTGGATTTTTGTTTACGATTTTATGGTGTTATTTACAAGTTTTAACAAACATTTTTTAAAAACAATAAAAAATAAGTTATCTAGTTTACGAAATATAAATTATTACTTATTACATACCTTAAATTAATGGAATTTTCTTTAACAAAATATTTATAAATTTTGACACATACGTCAGATTTTATGAATAGTCAAATAGTTTCCTTTAATTCGAGAATTAATCTAGACGTATATCACTCAACCTATAAATTTAATATGTCAAACTATGCTCAGTAAGTTTTTTATTTAATTTTTCTTTTTGGAAAATAGTTTTATGCAAAATAATTAAAAATAAAACCCCTCGACCGCTACGCGGTCTCGTGATTTTATTAAACTATTTTGCATTCAACATTTTCCAAGAAAAACCAAACAAAAAACTACTAAGCCTAGTTTAACCGATTAAATTCATAGTTCTCGTGATATGATTATAACGAATTAAAATTCAGTTAAAATCACAATTTCGTTTTTAAGAGGTTTAAATGTTTCATTAAGATTATTATTTCTTTTTGGGTAGAACTGGTTAATTTTTTTCATATAAATTATGTTTAACCCTCTAGGCTCAAGTTTGATTAACGCTATTTTAGACATGAATTTAATTTTGGCACGAGCAAGCTTGCGAGCGAGATAACAAAATAATTGTCGCATTTAGTATTATTTTACAAGAAATACACTTTATTTTAACGATTGTATGAAATTTTACAACTGTCAACTATCTTAAAACTAACTTCACCCCTGACTAAAAACCTGTGGCTAACTTCAGCCCGTGACTAAAACGCCATAAAGCCATAACTTGTCAATGTGTATTTAAATGGTCACTTAGTGTCATGGAAACATGTACTATGCTCCACACTTCAAAGTCCCACCACGTGACCAAGTACGGAACGCAGTCTTTTGATAAATTGTCATTTAAGGCTTTTCAGGTTATGCATCTGTCAAAGTATAGTCAATGCAAGAAATAATATTTATACTGTTACCATTTATGTTTAAGCGTTAAAAGTTTATAAATCTTTATAGTATCACAGTAACAATGGTTGGTTTAAGAGTTTAGGAGTATAAATACTGCATTTAATGAAATTCTAAAGTGTATAGTGCCAAATAAGTAAAATTTTTGTGCATTTGGTTTACATTATGTAAATTACATATATCTGGTTTTATCCATTAAATAGTTTTAACTACACGGCATTTATTAAAAAAATTTAGCTTGTCTATTATGGAATAAGAATATCTGTATCAAAGGTAGGTTAATATATTATAACAAAAAATATCATCTAATTTTGAAATTTTAAGGTTAGAAAAATCTATTTTGATCAAAATAAATACAAAGTGACTAGGTGCACGTTAGAGTGCCCGCAATTTATTTTTTACGGGCACGCTAGTGACGTCATAATAATAATCCGGTTTTGTTCCCCGAACATATAATATTTGTTGTCAAGCTAGATAGCTTAGATGGTAGGGCGTTTGCTTTGCATGCGAGAGGTCCCGGGTTCGAAACTCAGAAGTTGTCGAAATTTTTTTAATTTTTTATTTCATAAATTTGTTGTTCCTTTGTTAAAAAGTGTTTTATTTTTATCGTAACATAAATTTGCCCATTTAAGTTGGGTTTTTTGCTCAATGGGGCGGGGGGGGGACAATGGGGCGGGGTCGGTTGGGTTGTGTTGTTGAGTTTGGGTTGGTTTGGTTTTATTACGTAACGTATTGCGTAACGTGCCCTTAACATGTATACAGGTACAATTTATTATTATATTATTGTTGTGCCGCCAATTTTAAATTAAGCGGCACGGCAGTGATGACGTTTTTTATCACTAGCGTGCCCGTAAAAAATAAATTGCGGGCACTCTAACGTGCACCTAGTCACGGCGAAATAAATAAGTATTTTGGATTATTTGGAAGAGTGTGTTAATATGGTCATATAAATATAGATATACTTAATAATTGTTGAATATGGTTCAAATTAAATTAAAGCTTTTATACTCCTAACAACAAAACTTGTGCATATCTCTCGGGATCCCTACTTTAAGTTAGATTATAAGGAAACAAACAATTTTTAGAGATACATGCAATGTAAAAATATTTAATACTCCCATAACATGTGATTTTTGAAATTTTTAAAAGTTATAATGATTTTTTGATGAAGATAAAATTCAGTTGAAGCTTTATACGTAATTGTATTGACAAAACTTTATGTAGGTATACTTTAAGCTGGATAAGAAAGACTACTACAAGTAAAAAAATAGATAGAGTATACTGTGGTTTTATTTAAATTTTAGAATTTATAAGGTTATTTATACCTAATGATTGTTCGATGTAGATAAAATTTTGTCGAAGCTTTTATAGGTACTTGTATTGACACTATGGGTATATTAGCTGACAGTGTAAGGAACTTTAAGAAGGTTAGCTATTGAATTTACAGTTACAGTATGTAGCCAAAGATAATACACCCTTTGTATGTACCTACCTAATGGTTTTATATTTGAGATCTCTCATGGTGCTTATTTCCAAGAGCAAGTTATTTAATTACAGCTTACATTTAGGTAGTTAATGACTAATTTGTTTTACTTGGGCATAAATATTTATTTATTTAAAGTACTTAAAACTTAAATATATTTCAAGATTTTTAAAAGTGTGTTTTATTCCAATTAAACCAACATTATAGGGGTTTATTTTAAAGGAATCCAAAACAACACCTTAAAATGAATAAAATTGTTTGTTTCCTTATAATCTAACTTAAAGTAGGGATCCCGAGAGGTTTGCACAAGTTTTGTTGTTAGGAGTATAAAAGCTTTAATTTAATTTAAACCATATTCAACAATTATTTAGTATATCTATATTTATATGACCATATTAACACACTCTTCCAAATAATCCAAAATACTTATTTATTTTGATCAAAATAGATTTTTCTAACCTTAAAATTTTAAAATTAGATGATATTTTTTGTTATAATATATTAACCTACCTTTGATACAGATATTCTTATTCCATAATAGAGAAGCTAGATTTTTTTAATAAATGCCGTTTAGTTAAAACTATTTTATGGATAAAACCAGATATAATATATTAACATATTATGTAGACAAAATGCACAAAAATTTTACTTATTTGGCACTATACACTTTAGAATTTCATTAAATGCAGAATTTATACTCCTAAACTCTTAAACCAACCATTGTTACTGTGATACTATAAAGATTTATAAACTTTTAACGCTTTTCAGCGTTAAAAAACATAAACGGTAACAGTATAAATATTATTTATTTCATTGACTATACTTTGACAGATACATAACCTGAAAAGCCTTAAATGACAAATTTTCAAAAGACTGCGTTCCGTACCTGGTCACGTGGTGGGACTTTGAAGTGTGGAGCATAGTACGTTTTAAAGGTGGGAGTAGAAAAAAAAATTAATTTTTAAAGTATATATCGCTAATAACACAGTGCATCAGCAAAAAACATGATTCTGAAAGTGGTTTTCGTTTCTCCTATCCAAATAATGCCTTTTTGCGTTTACAGAATGTTTAGATTGATTCAGGTTTTTTTTTAATATCGATTTTAAGTTTTATTAATTTTGGAACCCGAAAAACCGTTATTTATTAATTTAAACCAAAATCAAAAAAAATTGATGGGGTTCTGAAAGTGGTTTTCCTTTCTTCTATCCAAATAATGCCCTTTTGCGTCTACAGAATGTTTAGATTGATTCAGGTTTTTTTAATATCGATTTTAAGTTTTATTAATTTTGGAACCCGAAAAACCGTTATCTATTAATTTAAACCAATTAACTGGTAGGAAATTGTTGTCATAACAATAAATTAAAAAGAAATAATAAAAAATAAAACAAACATTAAAAATGGGGGTAAACATGTCACTAAAAGTACATTTGCTCCATGCACATCTTGACCTGTTCGAAAATCAGCTGTCCACCGAATCAGAAGAGCATTAAACAATAATGGAAATGGAAAATCGTTAAAGAGGAAAGAGGTTTGATTCGATGTTGGCAGATTTTTGTTGGTCTATGGCAATGGAAATTTTGGCATAAAATTATAAATAAAATTTGTTATATCTTTTATGTTGATTCATTCTATTTTTTTAAAAGAATATGTTTTTAATAATTAATATAATAATAATAATTATTATTATTATTATGGTAGAAGCGAAAGAACTAAGAAATTGCATCACAACAAATTAAATATTTCGAGGATCCAGAATTACTAAAACTTTAAATTGATATTAAAAAAAAAACAGAATCAATCTAAACATTCTGTAAACGCTATAATTCAGGATTTTGATTGTAGAAACCGAAAATACTTTCAGAGCCCCATCATCTTAATTAAGGGGCTCGGTGCAAGAACCTCCATATTTTTGCTAAATTGAGTTAGGTATATAAAGATACACCCTGCAGTAGTCCGCATCGTTCGGTGCACAAACCTTGTAGATCCACGTTAGCGTTAAATAAATATATCAGATACAGGAGATACCGCAGAAATTATACTGTGCAATAATCAGGTAACTCCTGAGAAAATTCTGAATGTATCGAATTTGAATAATACCAAAATGTAATATTTTTTGATAAGAATATTTATTTTGACCATAATAATAAATGTTTGTTCCAAAATTTCTTTTTTCTTAGGGGCTAAATGATGTCAAACTTTTTTTTAAATATTTTTGACCCCCCTCCCCCTCTTGTCACAAAGTGTCATAAATTATAGTACCCCCCCTCCCCCACTGTCGTCACGTCACACTGATTTTATTTTTAAGTTAAATACCTACTTTAAATAAAAATACAAAAAAAATATTAGAATAATTTTTTAATTTACTCTTTGTGACGTCACAACCTGCTAAAACTCCCGCCAGCTATCACATTTCCGACGACCCCCTCCCCTCAAGTGTGTGACATCATTTATGGACGGCCCCTTAGTTAATTTTTGGATAATAAGTGTACTTATTTTTTTGTAATTACTGGGCAAGAACGAGGTATCTCCATAGTTATTATTACGATTACTAATTATAGTAACTAATTTTATAATAAACCGCAAATCTGGTAATTTAATGTCAATTGGTCTATAGTACGGTACTATTAGTACCCATAAAAAAATAAAAATTAATTACATTGTATAAAATAATTTTTAACAAGGTTTTTCTTGTCTTCTGAACATTTTCCGAATATGGAGATACGCGGTTCTTGCACCGAGCCCCTCAATTGTTTTCCGAAAATGTTGCACAGTGTAATTTGCTCCGCTTAGAAATATACTAACTATATATACGTAATATAATACATATAATTTTGTAGTAGATTTAATTATCTTGGAGAAAAAAAATATATATTGTTTTTCTCTGGACAAGGTTTTTTTTAATTTTTAATTTTAATTTCTACAAGTATACTAATACAAAAATAAATAGTGTTATGGCGTTTTATTTTGCTATGCCTTATTTTAAAAGATATAAGGAAATATTTATGTTAACCCCTTAAATCTTAGAAATAATAGCCTTACATTGAAAAAGTAAAAAAAAATAAATTGCAGATTAAAATTAAATAACAAGTTATATTAAAAGTGCTATAGTGATAAAAATTATTTTTTTTTTAATTTATATATGTACATATACAAGTTTTAGCATTTAACAACACAATTTTTATCTATAGAAAATATGTTATAAGATGATGGAGATTAATATAATAAAAATTGTTACAAAAAATAACTACACATTGAAAAGGTGTTTATGTTAAATTTTAATTCAATATATTATTTCTTAATGGTGCTCAAATATTATAATTTTTATTTAAATCTTATTTTAATTTGAAATGTTTTTCCTATGATAATAATAATTCAACTATTTAAAAGTATGTTTGGTTTTAATTGAAATTATATGATTTCAAATAGTATATTGACTGGATTACTGTTCTGCGCATCAATGGTTACCGTTTTATTTTATCTGTGTATTACATTACATTGTGAGCGCAAGAAGTGAATTTTAAATAAAACATTATATTGTAATATTAAATGATTTAAACTTTAGACATTTTTTAAAGAAAAATGATCTAATGATTCTGTCAGACCACAATGCACACCAACAGTGACATTAATTTCTTATGAATCATTCGTGGATTTTATGATCCCCAATTGCGGCAATTTACTTTATTAAAAGCCAAAGCCATCAAGGTAAAAATGGACGCTTAAAATAATTTTGTCAAAAAAATTGTCATTTACTTATTGTGGTTCAATTGGTAAACACTCTTTGCTACGTTGGCTTGAGTCGATTGGACTTTGTAAGCATGGAAATGCAAATCTTTTTTGAGAATACAGCACTCTCGCGAACTGCCATGATATTTTGTTCTGAACGACCACTACGAGCTCGTGTCGTGTGTTTTACGTCAATAACTACGCCAGTAGTTTTTTTTTTTTTTTAATGAAATAAAGGTTTTGGACTTCCATTGCCCTAATATTTGTAATCACATTTCGACTGGTATCTCCAGTCAGGTGAATACTGAATAAGTTAAGTAGCTACAGGTCTATTTATATTTAATCCGCACTAGAGAGTATCGGAGCATCAAGGTTTGACGAATCTGTTTATAGTTTCATTCCAAGGCTCGGATTCAAACCATTTCATATGGATGTTGCCAGGAACTCTGCTACCCCTCCAGACTACCGATCGGCTTCTCTCTCACCAATGATCACCAACATCATGTTGGTGATCATTGGTGAGAGAGAAGCCGATCGGTAGTCTGGAGGGGTAGCAGAGTTCTTTCTTGAATAGTACACCGAAAAAAATAATGTAGTTGAGTTAACATTTGCCTAAATGTCATTTTTAAAAATGTTGTTTCAACAAAAAACCTATTGGATTAATCTATATTTTGGTGTTAAAGCAAAAGTCAGAGTTTGTCAAAGTTTATTTGTTCATTTGACAGTTTAAATATTAATTTAACATAAACTAATATTTTGAATTAAAATGTTTATCGTACTTTGATTTAATAGCTGGAATTTGTTGAATCAACTACTGAAATTTTTAGGATTACCTAAAAAAACTATTAAATTAACGTTTAGTTGCTCTTTAATCCAAAACTTTAAATTTGTTCATTTAACAAATTTAAAATGTTACTTTAAAATTTAAAATGTAAAATTTGCATTCATAAAATTGCCGAGAATGGCGCTTCGAACACTCACGCCACGTCATTAGACAATGACGTTTTCTTACATCTCGCCTTAGTTAGCTTACGATTAGGTGTATATAAGATGAGATATCTGTTTGTTTAAGGTGTGTTCCACAGTAGAACTTTCACTACACCATATTGCCCGACACTGTTAAGACCCTCAATACAGGGCGAAACAGTCTGTCGGTATTTGAAGTAGGTGGAACACATGATACAAAGATGTATCATGGGTGGAACACGCTCAAAACAAAAACTCTGGGCGAGGTGAAGGTTCAATTCTTTCTATTTATATATAATAATATATTATTTCCATAATTTTGTTTTGGATACCAACCTTTAAAGAATTTTACATTTTCAGAATGTTAATTTAACATTTTATTGGTGTTAAGTGAATATGCTAAAAAGGTTACCTGGACATTTCAAGAAATTTACCTTAACACCCTAAGAATGTTAAATTAACCAAATTAGCAGATTAGAACAAATATTCTTATTTTGTTCATTTGACTGTTATTTGTTGTTCAATTAAACAATACAATTTGACATTTTTAGATGGTTAAGTAAACGTGCAAAAACCATTGCTTGTATTTAAAGTGCATAAAGAGTTGAATTAATATTTTTTTGTTGTTTCAACAGCTTATTTTTTTCAGTGTATATTCTTTCTCAAGTCTGGTACTGACAATCTTAAGTGCATCTTTTACTGAAACGACGTCAAAGCTGAGAGTTGGTCATCAGGTTTAATCTTCATTTCTCCTATTAATTATACCAAGTGTTTTGAACGTAGTAGTAGTAGTAGGTCTGGATTTCCATGATGATGGTTGCTCATCCTTTATCGGCTAGTATCATCTTGATGTTGTAATCCTTGCGAAGTTTGGCAAGATCTATTAGTTCTTCCTTTTTCATGTTTTATTTTGGATTTTTGGAGAACTTTGAGTTTTTTTTATTATTTTGTCATGGAAACCAAACTTTAATCATTTTGATTGTAATATTTAACAATAAGGACACGTGATTGTATGGTATTGCATTCCATGTTTATCAACTCTTATCTATCTTCTATCGGTCATAATTATTGACCAATAGATTCATGACAGAGAAAATGTCGAGCCTGCAGACTGCAATCTGCAGCTCGGTTTCAATTCGAAAATATCATCGATGATAATCGTATCACTTGTTATATTATGGGTGAGAATATCCAACACATGTAAATGTCTTTTTGGAAATAAAATTATTATTATTATTATTAATTCTTGACAAATCTGTTATAACATCGTGACATCACGATCTTTCTTCAAGGTCATCGGAGCGTTTTTAATCTTTTGGTTTTCAAAACGCTGTAGCGTTCTTAAAAATTGTTTGAGCAACGTTGGAAAAACAAATTAATAACAAAATCGTGTAGGTACGTAATTCCAAACATGCAATAAAAAAATTGCAAATCCCAACCCCATTGAAAAAAAATTGACAGTTTTAGATATTGGAGAGAAAAAAAATCGTTATCTTGATAGAGATAGAGAGTAGAAAGTAATTTGATTATTTTTGTTTTATAATAATAGGTTATTTTTAAGTGAAACAAAAATAAAATTTCATGTTACATTAATTATACAGTGTGTCCCAAAAATGGCACACTAGCGGTCCTAGTACTAAATTACAAAAAAATCTGATTTTAAAAATTGAATTTTGTTTTCTTTGTTTTAGTTTTTTTTAATATTTATTTATATAAACGGAAACGGAAACAACAATTTTCTATATGACATTTCGAAAATAAAAATTAAATATAAGATAATGATTTAAGGTATTATTATAATTATTTTTAAATTTGTCTGAAGCCTGAAAACCATGGAAACTCTTCACATGTAGTTAAATATTAAATTCCTTTATATAAACTCAAAAATATATCTATAAATCCCCAACTTCAGATAGCGGCTGGATGCCTTGTTTATTTTGTTTTCTTAAAACCCCCTTAAAATTGTGATATGCCCCTTTGCTCGAAAGCACCTTGTTGGAAGGATTTTTATCATAATTAAAATAAAATTTAAAAACTTAAGTAACTTTTTTTTATTGATTTTAAACTGTCAACAATTTATAATATATTAAATAGCTTATTTATTTATTTTTACTCAAAAGGCAAAATAACAAAAAAATATAATACCTTATGGAAAAAAAGAATCATTAAATTACTAATGCAAAAGCGTATTAAAATGGATATATTTGCCCATGACCCCCATGACTTAATTCTAAAAAAAATACGTGATTTAAATCTACTTACCTAAAATAGGTACTGCACACTCATCTTGCCGTCCATCACAGCAGGTGTTTCTTGATTCACAGTAAGGACCTGGCAAGTCCGAAAAATCGTCCTCTATCTGAGCACGTATCACAGTCAAAGAAATCAGTAATGTTAAACCACTCCACCGCACTGTCCACATCTAAAACAAAAATGTTTAAAAATTAAAACATAATATAATTTAAATATAAAATATAAATTTATTTACTTTGTTTGTATTATAAATAAATAGGAAATGACACAAATAATTATTTAATAAATAAATATATATCACACAAAGTTTCGAGTAGAATTAAAAGTGAATTGTTTATTCTGTTCTTTATATATGGGCAAATTAAAAATCAACAGTTTCATTTGCATACAGATTTTTTTTAGCTAATAATATTTAAATTCACAAGCCACACCGAGTATTAATTACATCGATTATGATTTATTTAAAAGTTATTTGATACTGCCTAATATACAAAGGTATACTTGTTTTTAATTAGAATTTTTACATTGTTAGGTCATTTTGAAACTTAAGTAAAGTCCGCAAGGCAGTGCTTAATTTATTTTGTTTACTCATATTTATTCATGTATTCTTCAATGGATTTTGACGTTCCTTTAATACCATTTAAATGATTATTAAAGCGATGTAGTTTTTTATTAAATATGACTTCATAATATGCATTTAGTACTTGCTAATATTTAATAAATAAAAATTAGCATTATTTAACGTTATTTTATTTATTTATTATCCCCAAAAATATTAAATAAAGGATGAGTAATCAACAAAAATAAACAAGTCCTTAACCTTAAAATTAATTTTTACAATGTCAAGTTAAAATGGTAATGAATTTGTCCCTGTTTGTGGATTTTGGTGACACCTTTCTATATGTTACTAAATTGCTCCAAAAATAATTTAAATTTATTTGCCTTTATTGGAACTAGTAAAATTAGGTCGAATTAATTAGGGCAATCCTTAATACAGATATATTAACATTGATAAGCAAATTTGAAAGATCACTAATTTTGAACATAAAATAATAGCATATTGTGCGACCACTGGGAAAAACAGCGCAACACGAGAATTTTTTGTTTAACTACTTAATAATAATAATTGTACTCAATTATAAAATAAAAGCTTTTATTATTATCCTAGGCTGTAAAAATAACAGTTTTGAAGCTATCTAACATCACTTTATACTTTTAATATTGAATCGGTGATATAGGTTGTATCTTGGTAAATAAAAATGCTAAAAAAAATTCGACCACGCATCCCCGTCCCTTTTTTTAATGATCCATTGGATGATGTTTTCGAATTTTCTCGATTCGCATTTGTTTAGGAGATATAAACTATTTTTCAATTTTTGACAATTTTGACAAATGCTCTGTTAAAATTTGAGTTACGAATACAGGTTTAAGACATTATATACGCACTTTAGGGCAGAATTAATTGCTTTAGACAGATTTTTTTAGCTTTTTTAGGTTACGAGATATGACCCAAAGTTGTGTTGTTTTTATGGAAATCATAGTTGGCTCTGACTTCATTAAAAAAAAATTTCTGATCTTAATGTATAATACTATGAGTCTAAGTCAACTACCAATAGGAAACGAGATAAAACGATTTATAACTTTTTTAAATTGAATATTATACGTTATATTATTATTATTATTATTATTTTTATTATTATTATTATTATACGTGAATTCGCGAAAAACAAATAATAGGCGTTATTAATAAAGACATAATATTTACAGTTTTAGTCTAGTATGTAGTATAATCCAGTGAGCCTAGTAAAGATTAATTGCAAGGCGTGACACGTACAAACTTTTATGTGTAATTTCATTTTATAAATTGCTTTTTCTACAAGCCTGTAAAACTTTACAGGTCTTTTATACATACAAGCCCAACAGGTATGAGGCGCCGTTTGCGTCAAAATAGAAGTGTAGAAAATAAATATCTCTCACAAAATATATAATTTAACAAAAAATATATAAAAAACACAAAATAGGTAGGTATGTATATAAAAAATAACAAAACATATAAAATATAACAAAACATATTAAATATAACAAAACAAATAAAATCCAACAACACACATAATACACCTGTAACAAAACAAATAAAATCAAACAAAACATATAAAACATAACGAAAAAAATAAAATTCAACAAAACATATAATACCCCTGTAACAAAACAAATAAAATCAAACAAAGCATATAAAACTATAATAAAACAAATAAAATCCAACAAAATATAGAAAATCAAACAAAACATAAAAGCCAACAAAATATTAAAACTCGGGTTCCTCACTTCACCGTTTGAGGGCGCTCGACGCACAAGTTTCAAGAAGACTTATAATAATAATAATAAAAATCCCTAATAATGTTGTAACTTCATCCATCCTTGGCAGATTCAACTCCATCGTTTCCAATTAAAGCTATAAATTAAAATTAAAAAGTAAAAAGATTTAAAGAAAACCTTAAAAATCTCCTAATATTAGTCTTTTTGTAACTTGTGCGTCGAGCGCCCTCAAACGGTCAAGTGAGGAACCCGAGTTTTAATATTTTGTTGGCTTTTATATTATACAAGGTGTCCCTAAACTTATTGGCATAAATTAAGGAAAAGATTGAGCAAGTCAAAATAATACGAAAACCTAAATAAATATTTTTCCTAATTACTTATGTTTCCAAGATACAGGGTGATAAAGTGTTACTTATCATATCAGTTTTTTTAATATAACTTTTACTATGGTAGTCTTGGAAAGGTGATATTTTGCGAACAGTCACTTACTACCAAAACACATATTAACACATAATTAAAATTATTTGAGTGAACGAGGTGTCGTAGAAACGGGGGTTGCTTTAAGCTTATTGTTCCATACAAACTTTGAGGTTAGGTTTTTATAACATTTAAAAGGATTAAAAGGTAAATGATAAGAATTTTATTTTTTAAATGAAAAAACTAAAAAAGGCATTCCATGAGCCTTGGGACTTTTTGCCCTGACCGTCACATTAAAAAAAATGTAGTTTTTTCAATTAAAAAATTTGTTATCATATACCTTTTAATTCTTTAATGCGATATAACAATTATTGTAATCTCGAATATCTCGGAAACGGTTTATTTTATCGAAGTTTGAGACGTACACCTTTTTAATAGTAGCCGAACTGAGTAATAGAACAATTGCATAAAATGGTATAAAAACCTAACCTCAAAGTTTGTTTGGGACAATAAGCTTAAGGAACCCCTGTTTCTACGACACTGTGTTCACTCGTTTTTTGTGTTTTTAGTACTAGATAGAACATACCTTGTTGTGTGGATTGTGGCCATGCTAATCCTAAAATTTAATATTAATATTAGTTCAGAAGGTTAAAAGGAAACTGCAAAATGCAAATCTGCAGGCATGCAGGGATGTGAAGCATTAAAATATCATGCCAAAAAGTCCAAAAAGTTCTTCTGTATACTTAATATATTAACAAAAGTATAAAAATACAATTGCACTACTTTATGAAGACATAATAAGTAATAATTTTTCTTGACAAACGTTGCGTTTATTTGTTTAATTCGAACGAACAACCTACTAGACTAATTCCTAGATGCAGTATGGTGAATGCGATATAGAAATGCATAAAATTGATCATGTTTGAGCAATTAAACAAACATTGCGGATGCCATGTTAATGAGTTTGTTTGCACAAACATAAAACAAAATAAAATTAATTGTGAAACAATGTTAACTTGCACCTTTAACGCTAATCGTAAATATCGTATTTCAATTGTTCTCAATTAAATTTTAATGGCGCATATTTAAACTATAACGAAAGATGGTGTAAAACAACAATTACCAAGGCACTTATATATTTTTAACAGTATCGGAATCCAAGCATCACTTCTATTTTCGAACATACTTTCAATCTAACCTGTCGTAGTACCAATAACATAATATTGCCATGGAGATCAATAAATAAATAATTACGTAATTTATTTATTGTTTATTGCTATAAAAGCTTTTTAAGAATACCAAATAGCGGGCCATGCTAAATCTATTGTCAACCTTTCAAAGTTAAAAGTTAAAATACGTACGTAACAAGGTTTTAAAGGTTATGTATTTTTGACGTTTTAAATATAGAGTTTTTAATTTTTAGGTTACACTGTATAATACTTGATAATTTTGTTTTAATATGGAAACTATGTTATTTTATGTGAACAGTCTAGATCGGAGTACCTACAGTTTACGTACTTTTTAAATTTCTTCAAAATGGTGAATGCGCCGGGATATAAAATAAATTTAAATTGCGAAGATTTTCCAGACATGGCAATTGCAACAAAATGATTTTAGAATTTAATTAATACAATTTTAATTGGAATGTACCGTATAATTTCACCATGGTTTGCAAATACTTAGAAAAGTTGTTCCGGGGGGAGCAGAAGAGTAAATGAAAATAACATTTTTGAAAAGTAAATCATTTGGTTCTAGAATTACAGCAAGTAAAAAATGTTAAGTTTTGTAATTTTAATAAGATTCGTTATATAGTTTTTACGTAAAAAGTCATCTTAAAGGGGGAGGATTCTAAAAATATATTTTTAACAAAACCCTGAAAAACAAGATAAAACGATTTTTACAGGTTGACACATTTTTTTAAATATGAAAATATTTTTTTGAAGTATTTAGCATTTTTTACATAAAAAATATATAAAACAGGAATTTTCAACTTGCTGTAATTTTGGAACTTAATGATAGACACATTTTTAAATAATCATGAAATCGTTTTTTGGCATGTACCTACTCGCCGGTACAACTTTACTGGATATTTATGAAATTTAAACTAATGATTTTTATCTATTTTGGTTTCATAATGACTTCATTATAACACCGCTTTTGGTTCTTTAATGAGGTACTTTATTCCACCCAAAATTTTGATTTTATAGGTTGGCTACTGGTAAAATACAATTTTGAATACCTATAGGTTATAATATTTTTATGATTTGTTTTATAGTACTTACGAGACTTTTCGTGCAATAAATTTTGTTTAACACCAAAGAAAATCCTTTTTTCTTCTTTAACAGCCGCTTATTGTAAATACTTATTGTAAATTAACGACGCCATAGCGAAAGAATGTGATAATGTTTGAAAGGTTAATGACCTTTCAAACTTCAA